TGATGGCTGCACTTTTAACCATCGTTATGTCAAAGCCAACCCACATGAGGTCGAAAATGCGACTTGGATGCTCACAGTAAGATTATTTGTCCTATATATTTTTTTTTAACTTGCATTATTACTTTTTGATTTTGTAGTATTTCACTATGATTTCAATGTCACATTATGCTAACATTGCTTTGAATAAAGTAACATTAATAAAGGCAGATAGTTTAAGTTAATTTCATCTTAAGTGCAGGAGTTTTACTTCCAATAAGGTTAATGTCGTGTCAATGGATGGTACATGGAGGCAAAACTTAGAACATGATGAAAGCGATCTAGGACGTAACAGTTCTATCATTCACAATGTTAGATCTTGATGAACGGGTCAAGCGGGAGTTTGCATTTTGAATTCAATCGATTTGGAAGAAATTAAATTGCACATGATATGAGATTTTTTTAGGTATTCCACATTCCCTAAAAAAATATTTTATATTTATTTTAGGCTTTGTTTGGGACGGATTTCTTACTGCTTCTTAAAGCAGCTTTCTAGTACAAAAATTTAAATTTTTGTGCTACAAAGATGTTTTAAGAAGCATTAAGAAAGCCATAGCAAATGAAGCCTTACTCTATACAAACACGTGCAGAATCAAAACCCATTTTGTTTATTGTACTACAACAACAACAACATCAAGCTTTTGTCCTACTACGTGAGGTCGGCTACATGAATTTTTTTCTCCATTTTGTTCTTTTAAAAGTCAAATTCTTGTTCAAATCTAATAAAGAACGATCATTTTTAATATTTTCTAACCAAATTTTTTAGGTTTACCTCTACCTTTCTTAATATAAGTTAAATTTGATACCTCTACTTTCCTAACCGGGTCATCGGAAGGCCGTCGTTTTATGTGACCAAACCATCTAAGGCGACTCTCTCTAATCTTATCTTCCACTGGAGCTACTCCAACCTTTTCATGTATATGCTCATTTTGTATCCTGTCTCTAAGGGTAAAGCAACTCATCCACTCGAGCATCCTCATCTCTGCAACACTTAACTTAGTATTATGCTTCTCTTTTAATGGCCAACATTCTGCATTATAGGGCATTGCAGGTCTCACCATCATCTTATAAAATTTTCCCTAAGTTGAGGGGGGCTTTTCTATCACACAACAAACCCGAGGCATTCCTCCACTTCAACCATTTAACTTGAATTCTACTTATAGTGTAATGTTAGGGTAAGATTGTGTAAATCAACTCCTTTCTAAATCTTATACTAACAGGCGCTTCATTCATTCGATATTTCTTTTGAAATTATAAGGAAGAAAAAAACTGACGACCAGATAGTTGAAATGAGATGGAGGTGGCTGCCGCAATAGTTCCACTAATGTAAAAGAACAATTCTCTTTGCACAATGACCACTTCGTATATGAATCCTATTGGAACCTTTTAGCCCATCTTCATTTACGCTTTTCTTTCATGCACTCCAGTCTAACATTACACGCCTTCCTTTGCATTTATGGCAGGTCTTCAACTGCTTCGGCCAGCACTTCTGTCTTCACTTTGAGGCATTCGTATTAGAAATGGCTCCGGTTTACATGGCGTTCTTGAGATTCATGGGTGAAGATGATGAGGCAAAAAAGTTCTGCTACAGCTTAGAAGTGGGTGGAAATGGACGCAAATTGTTGTGGCAAGGGGTGCCGAGGAGCATCAGGGATGGTCACAAGAAGGTCAGAAACAACCATGATGGTCTGATCATCCATCGAAATATGGCCTTGTCCTTCTCCGGCGGAAACCACCAGGAGCTCAAGCTTCGAATAACCGGCCGCATCTGGAAAGAAGAGTGAAGCATTTTTCACCTAAATTCATGGCCAGAAAGTTTAGGCTCACAAAGCTTGATGTAATCAGTATGTGGACAGTCTGCTCAAAGATTTGCTTCATGTATGCATTGTGTTTTGCCTTTGTGAAAACAGTCATGATATTAACAATGGAAAATGTTTGAAAGTGGTTTCTGCTTCATCCTTTGCTCAAAAAACTCTCCCAATTTGCAAAAAAGAAGCAATGTGCGGATACTGTACGCTGTTCGAAGACGAATCAGAATGTGTCGCGTCACTTTTTTGTTGTGTGCCGGTATTGTGTACCGGGTGACGTGGCGCATTCTAATTTGCCTCCGAACGGTCCAGTGCTTGCACAAAATATTTTAATATAAATGACTCATTGAGTTAGAATCAAATCAAGATGGTCTTAGAAAATGAATAATATATACTATTGTAAACATGTATTGATATATGTTACTATAAAGTGATGCCCTTTGGTCATAAGAATATTAGTAATCTTTTGACCATCAGTGATCATATATACAAATAAGTTTGAGTATTATATTGATGATGTTATGGTCGAAGGCTTTTGATGATTTTACCCCCCTCAATTTTGATTTTCTAGATAAGGATTAAGTGTGGGCTATCTATCTTCTTGTTTAGTGATTTTATTGACTCAAAAAAAGAGAGAATCATAAAACATTAAAGAGTTATAAGTCCCTTCATTGAATTTGGGTATGGGTGTTAATATTTGATACGATCAAAAAATTCGATCCGAAAATTTCGTGTTAGGATTAACATGTTTTTAAAATGGATCATATTCAACAAATCGACCCATTTCAAAAATTGGGTCGGATTCGAATTGACTTAGAAATCCAGATCTGACTTGAAATGACTGCGGCTGCCTGCATCTTCACTTTCGCGCTCTAGTCGCACCGTCGCCCACTATCGCTGCCTTACCGCGCGTCTCTGGCTACCATTGCCGCTTCCTTGTCACGCGTCACCGACTGTCACTACCACTGCCTTATCGCGCGTCGCCTGCTTACAAGATTTGGCTGAATAGGTGTGCGAACGGAGGACTTATGTTGCCGCTATCGATGTGGGTTGGACCCAAACTCGACCCGTGACCTGAAATTGACACCCCTAAATTTGGGCTTTGTTTGAGATAACTTTCTTACTCTTTTATAAAATTGTTCTAGAGATAGTAATTTTTTAAAATTGTTATTGAAAACAATTTCTTAATATAAATTTTTTTAAAAAATAATAATAATATAATAGGTAAAATAATAATTATAATTATATTTTTTTTAAAAAAAAAAGAAAAACCCAACGAAGCGTTCCCCTCCGCAGAATAAGAGAAGCAAGGCAGCCTACTATAGTGAAGTTGAGCTTTCTGCATCTCACCTTCCTTCTCTGATCCGCCACCCAACGGGTGCAACCACCACGATGGGTCCTCGCTTCGCCTAATTTACTTCTATTTTCCACAAAAATAATTAATTAATTAAAATAAAATAAACCGCTGCAGATGTCCAGATGCAAGGTATAAACGTATTTAGTAGTGCCTTTCTTATTCGATAAACCTCTCTGAGTCAACATCCAAAGTGAATTATTAGTTGAGGTGAGCGTTTTTATTTTTATTTATTTATTTATTTAGATTAAACATCTTAATTAAATTTAAATTCAAATAAATATTAAATACTTTACTTTTGCTCTATGATTAATGCTATAAAAATTTAATTAACATTTATGTTTAATTAAATCACTTAGCAACTTTTTAATTACTTTATTTTTCATATAATAACTATAATTTATGATTGGCCATAATTTTTTTTTGTTGCGTTAAAAAAAAAATTACTCTTAGAGACAGGACATGAAACCAACATATTCGTCAAAAGGTTAGAATAGCTCCTGTGGCAGATAAGATTAGAGAGATACGTCTTAGATGGTTTGATCATGTAAAACAGGGCAAATTATTGGGTCAGGTGACCGGAGGCGAAAAATAAGTTCGGACATCCAATAAAAATTTGCCGCGTCACCTTGCGCTTTAGTTGCGCTTTAGTTGCGCTTTTTGACTTGCGCTTTAGTTGCGCTTTAGTTGCGCTTTGGTTGCGCTTTTTGACATGCGCTTTAGTTGCGCTTTACTTGCGCTAATTTTAAAATAATATTTTATTAATATCCGGACCTATCTCTGCGTTCGGTCACCTGACCCAATAATTTGCCGTACAGTGGCCTTTTGATGACCATGTTAGGCGAGTAGATGTATTAGATTTGGTCTATGTTAAGAAAGACAGAGATAGACCAAAAAATACTTGGTTAGAAAATATGAGAAATTATCTTTCTTTATTAGATTTAAATAAGAATTTTATTTTAATGGAATACAATGTTAAAAAAGGATTCATTTAGCTTGATGTTGTTTTTTTTTTTTTTTAAATTGTACTAAAAACTAGGAGTGTCAATTTTTGACACGACCCGAACCTAACCTGGAAAAATCTGGGTTCAGGTCAACCTGAACCCGAAATGGGTCAGGTTCGGGTTGAACAAATCAACCCATTTTAAAAATCAGGTCAGGTTCGGGTTGACCCAGCAACACGAAATTGACCCGAAATTGACACAAAAACTCATATTTGACCCGAAAATCCGAGATTGACCCGTTTTTTACTCGATTTTGATCCGAAAATCGAATATTGACCCGATTTTGACCCGAAAATTAGCAATTTTATGTCAACTTCGGGTCATTCGTGTCGGGTCGGGTTGACCCAGACCCGAATCGGATCGGCTTCGGGTCTGGAAACCTGACCCGTTTTTAAAAACGGGTCGGGTTTGGGTTGACCCGAACAGTGTCGGGTCAGTTCCGAGTTCGACCCGACCCCGACCCGCTGACCTGAATTGACACCCCTACTAAAAACCTACATTCTACAACAATTTTAAAAAGTTAATTTCTCTGCAACAACTTAAAAAGGTAATAAAAAAATATCTAAAATGAAACCTTAATACCATCATAATTAAACTTTGATCAAAACACTAATAAAATTTTTTTTCTTCTCCCTTCCAACAAAAATTACCTAACCAAAAACAGAAATTTATCAATTTATTAAATAAACCATCACCACCAACTATAGAATTCCTTCAAGATAAAGCAGCAGCAGCAAGAAAACTTAGTATACTTAAATTCTTTCAGCTGCTCTGTCCACATCACTTCCTCCTTTTAACACCACACAGTGACCACACAGCCTCCCTTATATCGCACTCTCTTCCCCCCTTCATCTCCCAACAATCTTCATGGCGTCTCTTCTTCTTCTGGTTCTCATCTTCGTCTTCAATCTCATCGCCTTCGCTCTCGCCATGGCCGCCGAGCAAAGGCGGAGCACGGTAATCACATAATGGGGTGCTCAATCTGTTCCACTGCAATATATTTTTCCTGAGATTTGTATATATATATGTGCGTGCAAATGCAGGCAAGAGTGGTGCCAGATGCAGAGAACAATTACACCTATTGCGTTTATGATTCGGACATCGCCACCGGCTATGGCGTCGGTGCGCTGCTCTTCCTAATGGTTAGTCAGGCTGTCGTTGCCGTCGCCACCAAGTGCTTATGTTGTGGCCGTGCACTGCACCCCGGCGGCCCTCGATTCTGCGCGCTTATCCTGTTCCTCTCCTCTTGGTGATTTTTCTTACCATTTTCCAAGTAATGTAAAATGGCACAGCAGGAGTATTTAGGCTTCGTTTGGGACAATTTTCTTACTATTTTGCTTTTGAGATCGCAATCATAATTTATGTTTGAGCAGTATTTTCCTTGATTTCAAAAAAAATTATTTGCAAGGAAACTGCTTTCTCCAGCAACTTCTAAATTTTTGAAAAACAAAAATTATTTTCTCTACAATAGCTTTACAAGCTGCCTCAAACAGACTCTTAGTTTTGTAAAAAAGTTATTTGAGTGAAAAATTTTACATTACACTTACTTTCAAATAAATTAAGAGTTTCTTTGAGGTGTTTTTTCTGTTGTTTTGCTTTCAAACAACAATCACAATTTAGGATCTGTGTAAGTTTGCTGATGTAGTGGATCGTCGGAAGTCGATACCTGCAAGAAGGATTTCAAGGAGTTCCCAATCCAGGGAAGAAGAAGAGAGTTTTCTCAAAACTTCAAAAGAGTTTTTATCATTCAATCCCCTTTCCTAATACAATGCACTCATATTTATAAAACTAAAAGAGTATTCTAGAGACTAGATAAGGTGTTCCTAAGGACTACTTCAAGCTTAAAATGCACCGCATCATTTGCTTTCTAGGTGCTTTGTTTTTCAGATAGCAATTATAATTTTGTTTGATTATTATTATTTTCTCGCTAATTTCTCACTGTTTTAAAAAAATTCTACGATGAAAAATCATTTTTTGCAATCAAAGAAGCAAAATTCCTTCATCAACATCAACTTCACAATCAACTTTATAAAATACTAAAGAACACCCCAAATAGACCTTTAGGGTTCGTTTGAGACGGCTTTTTTGCTGCTTCTTAAATCAGCTTTCTAATACGAAAATTAAAACTTTTGTATTGAAAAGTTTCTTTATGAAGTAGTAAGAAAGTCAACGTAATCGAAGCCTTAGTTTGGCCAAAATTACTGTGATGAAAAGATGATTTTTAGACTAAAATAGCTCATTACTTTCTCCGCCCTAAATTTGCAACAAACTTTACAAAACTCTTTAGTCGCCCTAACAGATGAATTCAGTTCAGTTCATTTTGAAATCAAGATCTGTTTGCAGCTGCGAGTATTTGACTGATTTGTGTGTAAAATAAAGGGTGACGTTCGTCATAGCGGAGTCTTGCTTGCTGGCGGGATCGGTGGAGAACGCATACCACACCAAGTACAGAACGCTGTTCGTGGACAATCCGCCGTCTTGCCAAACGCTGCGAAAGGGCGTTTTCGGCGCCGGCGCGGCCTTCGTCTTCTTCACATCACTTCTATCGGAGATATACTACATCTCCTTCTGCAAGGCTCGCGATGTCACCATCGCCAAGGAGCCCTCCATTGGCATGAGCTCCTACCCATAATAGACATAAAGGATCCATCTTCCTCGCTTGATCTGTTCTCAGTTTCTGTTCTTGAAGGGATTTAGTATTTTCAGTTTTATTGTATGATTGAGGTATTGAATTGATTGCTTGCTGATTCCAATGCTATATTTGGTTGTTGACTGAGAAATGTAGCTATAGATCTTTAATGAAGGCAAGAGAGGAGTGCTTGAAAAGTTTTAATTTTAGTAGAAAGAGTTGTAATTATTAATTTAGTAAAATGAATGGATCTGTAAGTTTTTCAAATAAAGTAAGTTATGCATATTGCGTAAGTTTTGATGTGCATGCTTAAGGCCAAAGTAACTTAGGAGCTCAAATCCACTTACCAACTAAGGAGAAATTATTATGTGCGGATGTCAAATACTGTTTGGAAACCAATCAGAATGTGTCACGTTAACCCTTGCTCGATGTCACGGTTGGGTATTACTGATGTAGTGCACTCTGGTTGATCTCTGGATGCCTTTTTGCATCTGTTCTCCGCACAGAATAATTTCTTCCAAAGGAGCCTTTTGCTTGGCTGAAGAAGAAATGAAAATAGAAAGTGTAAAAGGGTTAGGACAAATTTTGAAACTAAGCAGGTTAATAGTTAAAATTAGGTAAAGGAGCTGAGTGAGACATTATTTTGAAAAGGAGCAAAGCAGTAATTTTTTTTTAATGACGAGGAACCGTCTGCTACCACGCCCGGCATAGCCGAAGCAGTAATTCTAATTTACAACTTTAAGAAACTGTTAAACTAATTAATGGTTTATGGAAACCATGAAAATATTTTTTTGTTTTTAAAGAAACAAAAAAAGATTTTCGATTTCTAAGAAACCGTGAAACGTTTTTCCAGTTTGCTGAAATCATGAAAGACTTTCACGGGTTTCATGGTGAACTTGTTGACGAGTATTTAGGCTTCGTTTGGACGATTTTTTTATTGCTTCTTGAAGATAATTTTTTTAGTACAAAAATAAATATTTGTACTTGAAAGCTGCTTTCAGAAGCAGCAAGAAAGCCGCTTTAAGAAGCAGCAAGAAAACCATCCTAAATGAAACCTTAATCTAATGCTAAAGTAAGCCTACTCGTCAACATTTCACTTAGTCCCTTTATGACTTCATCCATCAAGCTAGCATTAGCCACATATTTATATATATATATATATATATGTTTGGTAAAAATATCAAGTACTCTAATATATTTTCCTAGCTAATATATATTCACCTCACTAGCTTGTGACAATGGGAAATTATTGGGTTCAGATCAGCATCGAACATTGTTCAGAGCGCAATGAAAATATGCTACATCATCCCCTACTCGGTACTGAACAGTATCGAGCTCGATACTGCTCAGCATGGAGCTCAGTACTACTCGGTACTATGAAATACCGAACTCAGTACTTCAAAGTACCAAGCTCAGTATTACTCGGTGTTGTGAAGTACCGAACATTAAGCTGTGATCGGTGTCCGAACCCAATAATATCTCGGTGACAAAAGACAATATATGTGCTCCAACTTTCTATCTAAACCTGTAAAATGCTCAATCCAACGACTCAAATGCTAATAACTCCTCAAACCATTTTGCCAAAGATCACTTCCATAGCAAATATGGCATCATAGTTCTTTCTACCATATTGTCCAAACATTTGGCACAACAAGAATCTATAATTTCTATTTGGAATATGTATAGTAAGGTGGTCATCATTTAATCATGCCAATAAAATTTAAAATTCAAAAGAAAAATCCACCCACTTAATCATAGGCAACAACCCTTATTTTGCATCACCAAAAGTTAAAAGCTTAGGATTCTAAATGTATTTGAGTTTCTTTCCAATGTAATCCTAATCTTTCATTTAATTTATCAAAGATGAATCACAACCTTTCATTTTATTTATACATTTAATTTATTTATTTATTAACTTAATTTATTTATTTAAATGCATGATTTTTTTTTATTTTATTTACATTAATTATATTTTAGAGTCTATTGTTACATTTAATACATTTATTTTATATTAAATTAGGATTAAATAATTAATATATATATATATATAATCTAATATTATATACCGACTCAGCAACTCGTGGCGCGCGGGGCAGCGGGCAGCGCGGGCGGGGGGCAGCGGGTAGCGGGCGGGAAATCCAAATTGTTTAAAAATAAACTAGTTTTCAGGTTGACCCGACAACCCACTGGGTCAACCCAAACCTGACCCGTTTTTTCAAACGGGTCGAATCTGCAAACCCGAACCCGAACCAACTCGGATTTTTCGGGTTGCGTCCGGATCGAATTTTCGTGTCGTGTCAAATATTGATCCCAAATTCAATTTAACATACACAAAACCACAGCCCCTATAAATTAAGGTGAAAATTAAAATTGGTGTAGCTAGAATGGCAATATAAGGTTTGTACAACCATGAGGGTAGTCATAGTGTTTTTGGTTGTCTAACATATAGTGGTAGAGTAGTAGACTCATCTTTTGTAGTCATGATATTTTCTTGTTCTTAGGATGAGCTCATTTCTATTTTTCATCAGGAGTGTCAATAAATGATTCGATTTGTCAATCCAGATTAAACTTGACACAAAAAATCTAAATATGGGTAGACCTGTTCGATAAATAAGTTGAGTTTGGGTTGGATTTAATGATCTATTTATGAAATGTGTCAGCCTGGGGTTAACCCATAAACTTGTTCTTGACCCAAAAAAAGACCCATTTCATGTCTTTTTTTTATACTTTTGGTTATAATCTTCTTATTTTTTTTATTAAACATCCTAAACTTTATAGCTAATAAGTTATGCAAAAAAAAAATTAAGGGGATTTACATACATACCATCATATACTACTCTATTTATATATCTAACATTTAAAATTTTAATATTACATTCATACTACTCATAGTTTACTTTCATATTAAATATAGGTGATAGAAATGAAATATATGAGAGGTAAGAATAAAATATGAGTAATATATTTTATATTAAAATAAGATAGGATGGTATGTATGTAATATTAAAAATTTTGGAAGGTAGATATGTAAATAAGATGTTATAGAGTGGTGTGTATGTAAATCCCCCAAAAATGTAACTAAACGTGTTAATGTATTAAGTTCAAGTTGGTGTTTTTAATAATTTTATTAAACTGGTTGGATTCAAGTTGACTTGATTTAGATCGGATCAATTTCAAGGCGAATTCGAATCGGCCCCATCAACCTATTTTGATACCCTAATTTTCATTCATCTTAGTATTAGGTTGACATTATATTTGATTAATTAGAAGAGAGGGACAGCGAAAGAGAGAAGACGAGCGCAGAACTGAGAACTTCCTCTTTATTCATATGACGCATTTAGCGGTAAATAAAGCCGCACAGAACAGTTTCAAAAGGCTGCGAGAGTCACTCCGGAAGCAGAGTCTCCGCCACGATCTCCTCCGCCACAGCACCAATGTTCAAATCCTCGGCGCCGCCATCCCAAAAATCCCAATAGCTCGCCGGAAACACCGTCTCCTTCTTAACCCAAATACTAGCCGCCGAGGCGTCCATCATTCCCAAAAAACCATCGCCGCATCCGCCGCTGACGTCTTGGACCCCGCTCAAATTCTGATGGGAGGTAGATGCCGCCGCCATAAACGGAATTTCCCCTGCTGACAAGGCCAAGCCGGAGCTCACGCCACTAAAATCTTCCATAAATGTTAAAGAACTTTTCGACAGCGCAGCATCAAATAACCCTTCCATCGTGTCCATGCTTGGCGATTCCAGAGGCGGCTGCGGCGGCTGGTTGAGTAGTACGTGGCGGAGAATATCCGGAAAGATGGGATCTTTCAACTCTCCGACGACTGGCGCTATAGGATTCCCGCCGGCGGCGGCGGCGAATGAAGTAGCGGTGGGTGTAATCTTTCGGCGTTTATTCTTGCAGCCGCCGCCGACGGGGATGTTGCGAAGAGTACCGCCTTCAGTCCAATGGCGACGGCAAGCCCGACAAAAGTGGCGCGGCTGCGAGCGGCTGTAGTTGGGCATCTCCAACCGAACGGCAAACACTCGTTTGCAGTTCTCGCTTTGCTCCAACCGATCGCCATTTTTGCCGCTATTTGATCGCGGATGAACAGTGCGACGCCAATATTGGCGTCGCACTGTTCATCTCCGCCATTTTTTTCCTCTACCGAACCGGAAGAAAGGCGCCAAAGTGACGGTTGAGCGGCAAAATGGCGTTCGATTGTAGATGAAACACGGCATTTTTTGGTTTCGCTGTATTTTGGCGTGAAAAATGAGATTTTCGGTTGGAGATGCCCTTATAGTAGCAGAACTTGGTGTTTGTTGATTCACACCGTGGGCACATTAGCAGAGGTGCGTTCTGCTTTTCTTCTCTCCCCTCCGGTTTTAGAAATTCCAATCCACCCTTAATAGAAACTTATCGGATCAGTAAGATTGGAATTAAAGAAAATCAATATGACAAAAAAAAAAAAAAAACTTTTATCAATATTCTTTAAAGCTAGGACAATTTTCAATTAATATTGCCAACATAAACTCATCTAGCATGAACATAAATGTCATGAACATGGAGGGAAATTTGCCTGGTGTAATATGAGATATTGCATTTCTATTAGAAGGAAATTTCCCCAATCATGTGTGAAACAATCAATGTAGCATTAGCTTAGTTTTCGTATAGATGGGTAACATGAGAAATCCCCACTAAGTTGGCGGAAGCGAACTTTGAACAGATTAGGAAAGCTGCAATCTTTTTGGTTTCCACTGCGAAATTAGCCTGACTAATTGGCTTATCGGCGGTTGATGGATTGACTAGACAAAAGAATTATCCTCCTATGCTTTCCTGAGCTCGGTTTTCTATATTTATAAGAAGAAAACATGAAGAGAGAGCGTTTTCTTAAGGGATAAGTTAAGGCGAGAGGGAGGAGACGAAGAGGAAGAAGGTAGATAGTAACATGTGAGTTATGCCGGAAGAAGACGCCAAGAAAGAAGCGACGAGAGGAAGAGAGAGAGTTAGTGCGCGACAGGATGAGGGAGAAAGAGGGGTAGGTCGGTGGCTTTAGTGTGTTCTGTGGGGCCGCGACAATGGCGGAATGGAATGGCGGGTTTGTCATCACTTGAACAGAAAAGGAGATGACTGCAGGAAGGAGGAGGTCGCCGTTAGGAAGGACGACATCCGCTGCCTAACTCCTGTTTGGTGTTGATTTGAGGAACAATTATTACGTCCTCTGACCAGACGTAGAGCTACGTTCGCCGTCAATAATATGTCGTCACGTGCTCTTACTTTTTACCGCACGGCCCGACGAGTTGATCCGGACCGGAACCCGGGAATGCTATGTTCACGTATTGCGAGGTATTACTCGGTATTTGCTCGGTATTGCTTGGCAATAACGAGAAATACCGCTCTGTGAAGACCAATACCGAGCAATAGAGAGTTGTACCGAGTTTTTCTAGAAAAACTCGGTACAACTCGGTATTGCTCGGTATTACTCGGTATTTGCTCGGTATTGTTCGATATTAGTTATTGCCAAGCAAAATCGACCGATACCTAGCAAAACCGAGCAATACCTAGCAAAATCGAGAAATATCGAGCCATCCTGGGTCCGTTACAAGTCGGGTTGTCGGGGCGCGCGATAAATAGTGAGAACGTGTGGCACAATTCTACTGGCAGCCGAACGTAGAGCTACGTCCTGTGACCGGACCAAATAAAAGTTCTGATTTGAGAAGTTGGAATTGTCCCGTTTGATGGAATCGTAAATATTAAGTTAAAATTTTGTCTTATTATGATAAGTGGATTTATTTGTAATTATGCTATGCTATGATATATATATATATATATATATATAAGAGGGTTAGAAACAGAGGAAACAAGCAAGAGGAAGGACAACTATGTAGTAGTTATGTGTTGATAATAAACTTCATACATCTTTCATACAGGAATTCCTAGTATATAATATATAATTCCCACAATAATAATATTAAAAGTATCAAACGGTAAAGTGAAAAATGTACTATATAACTAGTTATAGCACTTAAGGTAGTGGAGCTCAAAACAATATAACAGAAAAAAATATGATTAGTAGGTAAAATGCTCCCCTGAACACTATAAGAGGAGATGCTTCGCATCATTCGCCCCCCCAAAAGAAAGCCCTAGACTAGCTGAATGAATCTGAGTAGCATTGACGTCGGGCAGAATATATGCATAGATGTCATTAACGTTGAAAGTATGGGATGTATTAAACTCAGCTGGTAGATCAACAATATAAGCATTATCTTTAATCTTTTTACTAATTGGAAATGGCCCTCATTTTCTTTAGCTGAGTTTGGAGTATTGACCCGCAGGTAGCCGCTCCTTACACAATCGGACGAAAACCAAGCCACCCGGATTAAATAGCTTCTCTTGCCTGTGTGCCTATGCAGCTAGTTTATATTGCTCATTAGCCCCTTGTAGCTTTAACTGAATGTTAGATAAGAATTTCGTATATTGGTCAGCTAGTACAGAGGTCGCCTTACTTTTGCATTTTGGGAGAACTGCAACTTCAAGAACTGTGTTTGGCACTTTAGTATAAACAACACTAAATGTGCACATACTAGTAGAACGATTTGTAATGGAATTGAAAGAGAATTCCGCCAGGCCAGGCAAGTCATCCCAGAATTTTAGATTGTCTTGAACTAAGCAACATAAGAGATTGCCCAGTGTACGGTTGACTACCTCAGTCTGGCCATCGGTCTGGGGTGATATGAGGAACTTAACTTAATTTGAGTGTGTAATCTCTTCCACAACTCTCTCAAAAAATGACTAATGAATTTAACTTCTCTATCCGACGTGAGGCTTCTAGGAATGTCGTGTAAGTGCATAATTTCTTTAAAGAAAAGCTTGACAATATTGAGAGCATCAAATGTTTTCTTATAGGCAATAAAATGGGCCATTTTTGAAAAACTATATGCCACTACCATTATAGAATCATTATCATGTTTTGTCTGAGGCAATCCAAGCACAAAATCTAGGCTCAAATCTTCCCATATGGATTCAGGCACAGGCAAGGGTTGATACGATCCTGCACCACCCCCCCTCCCACACACACACACACACTCCTTTATAGCTTTAATAGATAGAACATCTTTTGACAAACTTAGTGAAATCTCTTCTTAAATACGGCCAAAAAAATTGCTGTTGGAGTTAAATTATGGTGTTGTCTCGGCCTAGGTGAGCAGACAGACCTCCCGCATGAGTTTCTTTAATAATCCGCTGCCTCCAGGATGAGTTAGGGACGCACTGTAGATTCCTTTTGAATAAAAATCCATGGCAGATGGAATAGTCGGCTGCGGGTTCTTGCTGACTCTTGGACCAATAGTCCTGGTAGTAATCATCATTTGGGTATAACTCCTTTAGGCATTCAAGGCATGAGAATTCAATTTGCAACCTTGTTATAAGAGCATCCCTTCAACTTAGTGCATCGACCATGCGATTTTGTATCCCACTCTTATGCTTCAACACAAATGTCAAATTTTGAAGGAATATAATCTAGCGGGCGTGCATTCGATTAATATTTTTTTTTGTGAGTTGATATATTGTGGTGCCTTGTGGTCTTCTCCTATCACTCCAGCAAACACCACATCTCCACTACTGCAACCAAACCCATCTCCCATCCTCTCAGTAGATTCCAGCTCAAAAGTCCCTCCTACTTACCACATTAATCAACCTCCACTACAACTATTGCATTCATCTCATCTTATGATAACCAGAATAAAAACTAGTTCTCTTAAACCACATCATCTCCTCAATCTATTCCACCTCCACAACAATGTCAATCCCTCCACCCACTAGACCCAACCTTCTATACCGAAGTAGTAAAATTCTCCCATTTGTGTGAAGCAATGATTGCAGAAATCTTAGCTCTTCAACAGCATAGTACATGGGCATTAGTACCACATCCACCCAACACTGTAGTGCTCAGCAATCGTTGGACATTTTGCACCAAATTTATTTCAATGGCTCTATAGCCTACTTTAAAGCTAAACTAGTAGCTCAAGGACATCACCAAGAATATGGAACAAGCTACTTTGAAACATTCAACCCGGTAGCCAAATTCCCTACCATCCGAGCCCTTCTAACTATCACCCTCATCAAATAGTGGCCCATACATCAACTTGATGTAGCCAATTCTTTCCTTCATGAAAATTTAGATGAAGCCATCCATATGACCCAACCAAAAGGATTTGAAGACACTATTCATCCTAATCATGTCTGCCTCTTTCGCAAAGCCATCCACAGTCTCAAGAAAGCACCGCGTCAATGGTTTACTACATTTTCTGATTATCTCAAATCTTTTGGGTTTAATCATGGTAAATCCTACTCCTCACTACTTAACTTTAGTAAAAAAAATAATAGCCAACTCTATCTCCTTATATATGCATATGATATTCTCCTTATATGCAATGACCTACCCATGATCTCTCATCTTATCCATCAACTCAATCAATATTTTGCTATGAAACACTTTAGAACAGCCAACAATTTTCTGGGCATTCAAATTACCAACCTACAACAACCCAATTTCATGTCTCAGACCACCTACGCCACCTCCATTCTCAAAAGTGTTGGCTTGCAAATGTGCAAACCCCTATCTAATCCTGCATGTACTAAACTACAAGCAAACAATCCCACTGATCCAATGCTATATGATCCTCACATCTATAAGCAAATTACTAGATCCCTACAATACATAACCATTACAAGACCGAACATAGCTTATATCGTCAACATGTTTTTCCAATACATGCATAATCCATCACCCCAACATGCATATTTACTCAAACGCTTGCTGAGATACATTAAAGGCACCGTACATTATGGGATTCCCATTTCTAAGGGATCGCTTGTCCTTATATTCTTCTTGGATACTGACTGGGCTAGCGACAAGCAAACTTGTCTGCTCCACATTTGGCTATTGCACATTTCTAGGTAATACTCTTCTCTTTTGGATTGTCAAGAAATAACATGCAGTTGCTAGATCATCAACTGAAGCTGAATAAATAGCCTTAGCACCGACAACAACAGATATCATATGGCTTCACAAACTACTGCAAATTTTCTTATATCTCTTCAACATCCTACAAATAACTTTAGTAATAGCCCATGCCAACAATCCAATCTTTCATGACAGGACCAAACATATAGAGATTGATCACCACTTCATTCGGGATCACATTCACTCTCAAACAATTCACATAATTTAATAACAAGTTTTAACTAAACTGTAAATATTAACATTCATTGTTGTGGACCTCCGAAAGAGCACCGCGCGAACGGGCCGATTGGAAGGGACAGATTGGATCGTGCATACGACTAACCATTGAGGATAGAGGCTGTCGCCAACACACCTCGATGGGTAGTAATATACACGACCTAGTCACGGGTTTCCCCCATCCGATACAAGAGCTCGAATGGGGTTTAGTAGATGTGGGGCCAAGTTTCC